CCCCTCCCCCTCACGCCTGTACAATTCCTTCCTCCATCCTCCTTCTGTGCTCCACCCCACCACTAATCCCCGTTATTGCCTTCTATACTGCTCCCACTTCTCCCTCCCACCTCCGGCTGGGTGCTTTCTCTCAGCTCCCCTGGCTAACAGCAAGGTGAGAGACCAGTGCTGCAGCAGGCTCCCAGCTAGGCACATACCAGCTTGTCAGCCTGTGCTGCGGTGGCTGCCTGGAAGGCCAAATTTAAAGAGGTAACTGTAGGATTCATATGCAGGCATTTCTCTTGCTGGAGGCATTATTGATGGTCTCTCTTTTGCTCAAATATTATGGTTTTTTCCCCAAAACGTCTTAGATTAACTTATGCTGAACACTCAACCCCCTCTGCCCAACATATCTGAAAAGGTTTCAAAAAGCGATCAGGAGAAGGATGGGAAAAAGACAAAACATGATCGCACGAGCTCTTGTTTCTTTAGGATGACAACCATAAGGAATGATCCTGCTGAGAAGTACCCAAATAACCAACTTCATCCAATTTTAAACTAGTGATGAGAATTCAGTGAGGGAGTACTATCTGTGCCTTAAAAACAGAATCCATCTATCACTGTGAAGCGTTTCCCTACCACATGAAATATATTAGGAAAAAGTCATGTTATCAAAGGTACAGTTAAGGTCGCCCATATAGTATTAGTTTGTTCCCCCCTCCCCCCCCTCCCCCCAACATTGGCATAGTTTAGCTGCCTAGCAATATACTGTGTTTTCCACAGGATTCCACCCTCAGAGTAAGGAGCATGCAGTAAGCAGTTCTGGAGCAATGATTTAAGTATTTGCTATATACTAATACGTTGCTGTGGTCCCACATGATTGCACGGAACTAACTTCGCTCTGAAGACCCACTTTTTATTTTTAGAATGGTATTATCTATAGCAATTATTATTACAGTTTCTGACCATTTAAAAATACTTAGAATTTTTTTTTTAAAGATGAGAAAACTGAGGCACAAAAAAAAAGTCTCCATTAAACAAATCTGGCTTAGTCTACTTACTGAAGTACTAAAAAAGTATCTGAATCAGTGAAACATGGTTTAACAGTTCTTACATGTTTCCCCTTACCTTGAGTAACAAGTTTGTCCAAACCACAAAATCTCAGGGAAACTTGAGCAAAGCATACTTCCGCCTATCAAATAATGCCTTCTAGCGGTTGTCTTCTTTTGCAGTATCAAAATATTAAGAGCAAGCTGTACTGGTTTTGTCCACATGACTCTGTTACAACCTCATGCAACCAATCCATCTCTCAAGCCACTTTTTTCTTCTCTGCTCAAACTATACCACAGCAATGCCATCCACTCTGGACCACAGGACCTAAGAAACTATCACCTTTCCAGTCCCTGCTTTTGACCCACACCAGCAAATTCTGGTTTACTTAAAGTATGAAAGCAAAACTGTATTTCAATATGTTTCTTAACATATCATTTAAATTTGAAAGCCTCCTAAACATTAAGCGCCTGAACATTAACATTGGAATATTTAAACTACCTAATAGTCAGTCCTATTTTGCTTGTTCTCTTCCAACATTCTTCCTTTTCTTCTTTCTACTTACTGCTCATCTTTGAAACAGAGATGTCATCTTCTATGAGCACATCCGGATCGCAGTCATGACTATAACCTTTAGACATTATGATAACGCAAACAATCTCTAAAAAAGCAACTTGCTGAAGAATGGCATTGAGACACCAAGAACAGAAAAGCGTGATAAGCTGCTCAGTAGTATTCAGCCTACTCATGGCAGAATTCAGAATGGTTTCAGAACTGTTTAAGTATTAAAGCAATGTTAAAACATTACGTTCCTCAGACAATAAGCAGGAACAAGCTGATTATTATCTTACATCAGAATCCTGTTGACAGGCAACAAGTGGTGTCTCAACCAGCCACAAGATGAAAAGTATCTGAAGCTGGAGAAGCCTTTTTATTGGAAGAAAACCTTCAATCATTTGTCACAGTTAAAAAAACCAATACCCACTGTGCTTTAACAAATGGACTAAGTTAGAAGTACAGTCACCAAATTTTCAATTCTCTTTAGTCTGAGCTTTGCACTGTTGCCTTGGCAGTGCAACATCTAAATTTTTTTTGCCTGCTGTAGATACATAGCAGTAAGTTTCATGACACTGCTGAAATTCCCTCTGTGCAGAAAAAAAAAATCCTGCTTGAGGAAGGGTTTTATTTTGGCAGGTGGGTTGTGGTTTGAGGTTTTTTTGTATTGTTTGTTTGTTTTTTTTAAAACAGAATTCTGCTTGCTACCTACTTGTACAACACATAAAATGCTAAAGTAAAGCAATTAACTTTTCAAAAAGCATAATGCTATGAACATTATCTATTTATGCTGTCACTTTTTTGCAGGTATTGGGAAAAAATACATACCCACAATCTGGAGCTGGGCACCACCTACAATCAGGATCCGCAACCAGCCATCGCCTAAGCATAAACTCTTCGTATTTTTCCATCAAGATGTCGTCATTTAATATCAAACGAATATCATGAGGATTAAATCGTTCTGAGCATTCTGGACAGCTAATATTAACTCTGCTCTCGGAGATTTCTATCCGGAGATACTGACGCAAGCAATCCACACAAGATCTATGGTGACAAGTCATTATCTCCGGGAACCTGTCCTTGGAGTGCCGCAAAAGGCACAAGGGGCATTCCATGAAGTCTCCACTTGGTTTGCTGCTAGAGGTTGTTCCGTTATGAAGAGGTACACGTGGAGAAAATAGAGTTCTTGTCTGTACACATTTCTGAATGAATACTTTCAATACTTGCAATTCCATCAACACCTCCATTTAAATCCCTAGACTTGCGTTTCGTGTCTTTTTTTCTCCGAAAAAGAGAGCCCAATGAAATTCTTCTTTTCTTTGGTGCCTTTTTAACTGATGGCAAACTCACAGAAGAAGCAGAAGACTGGAGGTCCCGATCAGAGCCCATTTGCCGATGTAAACTCATGTCTAGGTCACTCATCAGAAATGGGTTAAATTTCATATACAACCGTAATCATTTTTGAGGATAAAAATAATAGAGTCAGAGGATACAGGCATATTATTATGTAATCCAGTTTGAGAGTCTTCATGCAGAAAATTCACATGTATCCACTTCCAGCAAATTCTTCAGAGGAACTCCCTATCTTAGGAGGAAAGATGAAAAAAAAAAAAAAGATTAGAATCACATCCATCACTTTTGGTTCTGAAAGACCACAGCACTCTAATGACCCGTTGTTCATATTACTACCATCTTCTCCCCACCATCAGACCCAATACTTCTTTCTGTCAGCTTTTTCTATCCTTTACATCCTTCTCATCTAACAAGCCTGAAACTTCCCTGTGGTCAAGGAATATCTTTCTTACACTTAAGCAGTGCCAAGAATGGCATCTTCACTCCCCTGCTCCCTAAGGGGGGGTGGCATGTGTGTGCATGCACGCATGTATAGAAATCACCATAACCCAAGGTGACAATTAAGTAAATGTATAACAAGTTCTTCTATAAAGCACAGTAACAGGCTTACAGCATTGGCAACTTTTCTGTTTTCTCTACCTTACGTTTTCCACACATGCGATAAGGTCATGTACAAACGCAATATAGATAATTAAAAGAAATGAAAGATTTGTGTGTGTGTTTTGAATCCATTTAGACTGCCAGCAGAAATTAAGTCACTGTGGCTAAACAACTCAAGATAAGTATTCTCAGAGTAGTATGCAGATGCATATTTATAATGTAAGGCACCTGAATATTTCAGGAAGCAGAGCTGCAGAGTGAGTGACAGCCAACACTGTCTTGCCCTTTGACTTCCATATTGCAATTCAAGCAAAGACTAGAATTAAGGTGATGACATTTGAATTTTTCATCATACTGATTTTTATTTTAAAAAAGGCCCACAAAATAGATTTCCATCACATATCAAGCTTCAGTTATTCCCTATATACAAGATGACGGCAAGCATTTCCTTCTGTTCCCTGTTGCTTAACTGACTGGCTCCGAGAGAGAAAGAAAGGTGTTTTCCTATTCTCCTCCGATAGAGGAGACTGCTACAAGAAGTGGCAGATCACCTCCAACCAAAAACACTAACTTCCCCCAAACATGCAAATATTCCTACTTCTTGGAAGCTTGATTGTACAAGAGGAATTTTTCTAACTCTCCATCAACTGCTTCTGTAATAGAAGAATGAGAAGGCATTTCTTACGCAACGCAAGTGTTGCATATCTGGATGCAACTACTGCTGGCACCATTTCTTTCCTCAAGTGTTTCCCAACTTACCTCCCAGAAAGGGGTGCACAGGGTTTCTACGATTTTACCATAGGACGATAAAATCAGAAACTGCAGACTAAAAATAAGTCAAAAGGTAGAAACAAAGGAATGTAGAGGGCCACTGATGATGATACAAAAACATAATTTCTATACATCTTGGTATGGAGAAGACGAAGGGAGGCAAAAAACCAACAGTGACTGAGGTAAATGCCTCTATTTACCAGAGCCCAGGCAGTCTGCACACCAGCTAGGGACCAGCCGAAAAAACAACTATGTGCTGTACGTCTCCAGGACAGGATCACGGAGGTGACTGGTCAAGACTAGGAAGGTTCAGAGGAAGACTGACCAGCAGCGGAAACAGGAATCCCCCTCCGAAGAGGAAACACACAAATAGCCCCGGGCCGTCCAGCTCACCAGAGCAACGCGTGCCACTGGGCCCTCTTCAGACTACTGTAGCTTGGTATTATATATGTCCCAGCAAGTAGCCAAGTCAACACTTCTTTATACTCAGTTTATACTACCATCCAGTACAGTAGTACCCCACAGGAATACTACCTTCCTCAAGTGTAAGAATTTAAGAGGAGGGGAAAAAAAACCCAACCACAAAAAAAAAAACCATACAAAAAAACCCCCTCACATCTCCTGGTTTTACTAAAAAGAGGTCTTACATTTTGGGCCACTAGACTTCTGTTGTTGTTGTTTTTTACAAAAAAATTTTAAAGCCACTATTTTATATTTTTTCAAATGCTGAATTATTATTACTTTTTTTCCTGTTTTTTTTTTTCCCTAATAAAGGAAAATCTTACCTCCACAGAACACTATCTAAAAATTCTTATTTTATTCCCAGGGTCTAAAATAAAGCATATTTCAAGAACATAACATACTCTTCCTTCTCTCCTAAGGGAACATTTTCAGCCTAAAATCTAGTCAAAAGGAATCTTGGATGCTTTACCTGCTTCTGTTCCCAAAACAAATTTAATAGTTTTACAGCTGCTGTTTCTCATAAAATGAACTAAAACATTCCCTTATCTAAAGAAAAAAGGTGAGACTGAAAAAACTGCTCAACAATGACGACAGAAGGCAACATCCTTCTCTCTAGGATCTTGGCATGATGTTATATCATAGATACACGCAATTAGTAGACAGCGTCTGAAATATACTACAGATACACAAATCCTATAGCCTATGGCTGACGATAAATTTTTATGTCTAGAAGTGCAAGAATAACCTTGAAAGCATTATTATAACTACATACTTACTAACATTTGTATGTTCACACAGATACTACCCGGATAGCGGAAAGTGCCATCCTCCCCAAGCCAGGAGAGTCCATGAACAACATGAACAGCAATCAAAGCACACATTTCAAGCAAGTTTTTTTTTAAAAAGAAAAAAATAAAATAAAAAAAGTAGGAAGTAAACACAATAACACAGCCAAGCCTATGACTACAAGCCTTCCCCTCCTCCCTTTCTCTGGAGAGGAAAGAATGCGTATTACAGCATTTTTGCCAGTTCCAACAGATGTACAAAATCAAGAAATAGCAGCTCTGGTGCTGAACCAATTGTACTTTTCTTTTTAAAAAAAAAAACAAAACAAAACCAAAAAAAGATTCTCCCATGCTCTGAAGAAAGAGACCAGTACATCCTATAGTTCTCTTTGCGGAATGGATCTGATAAGCAGTCTCTCAGAAATAGCAGATTGCTCTTCTAAAGAAAATGGTTAAACTTTGTCAGGATTTTTGACTAGAGAAGTTGCCAGTTATTTCAGACAATCATCAATTATGCTCTCTATATTTAAATGCATAAAGCCAGTTTTACAAGCCATACTCTTCCTTATATAGTAATTTTGGATTGCCGTTTTAGTGACATTCAAAGATGACTTTGCTGAAGTGAAAAGATTCAGCAGATTATTTACTACAGGAAAAAATGAAGACAAATGTTACAATGCTAATAATGATCAGAGCTGTACAAAATCACAAAAGCCTTATTAGCGCAATCTGGCGCACTGGCCAGTTCTCATGTTGCCCAACCCAACACAGCATCTGAACCCAACACAGCATCTGCATGTTTTTGCTGACAAAAAGAAGGAAAAAATACTTGATTCTGTACAGGCAGAGAACACAACGCCTGTATTATTCCAGAAACAATGAGTCCACATGAAGGAGCTGTCTGAAAAATGAAGCTCTGAAATCACAAGACTTGAAACGAGCCGAGGCACACAATTATGGCAATAATAACAAACAATCTTATTTTGAGAGGCAACATTCATTGCAAGTTCTGCACCAGTATAAACTCTGTCAACATACAGAAGAAACTAGCATAGGCAACAGCGAAGGGATAGAAAAACCACACACAGAGTGTAACTCCTAAAAATGTAAGTTCACGACTGTCCTCAACATTTCCTCAAAAGCACTTACCAACTTCAGAAAAAACATGTTTCTGGCTTCCCACCATGCCTAAAGCCCTACTACAAATCCAAATTCCAGCCATGCTTTGCATTCTGCTTGCGCCACAGACTACCACAAAACACCAGTTGCAACAGCACAAACACACCTTGTCATCTGAAGATTTCCAAAAGCACAAATGACGTTTACAGATGTAACTCACATAAAGCTCAGTACTTAACTGCTATCTGTTCCTTCAGTAATCCTTCCTAAACTGTTTGCTGGGGAAACCTAACTAACATCCAGTTGATTTCCTTCTACAATTCTTTTTGACCATGCTGCTTTAAGTAAATGCTATTGCTGACCATATAATGGAGGGGGAGGGAAAGGAAATCGGAATAATCCTGCAAAGGGAGAAGTTTTCAACTCAGAGATGACTGGGGTGAAAAATATTTTCTAGTATGGCTCTCCATGACATAACCTTTGCTTGTCTCATCAATTTCAAAACTTTTAGGAAATGCACTAGGGCAGCTGAGTATAACCCTACTGATTTTGTAAGAAAAGAGTGATAAAGCCCTACTTCCGTGAGCCAGCTGGAGACTAACTCCCTCGTGCTCCCAACTGTCCTCCAAACGCACCAGAGGCACAAGCTCAACATGCTGCTTGCTCTTCCATTACACATTCAACCTGGGGTACAGGAGCAACAAATAAGGGAGTCTGCCATCAGGACAAGCAGCTTCACACACACTTGCAAAATGACGGCAGGCTTAAACATTTGTGTAGGAAAGGAGAAAAATCAACATAAACGCAGACGCAGCTACATCCTCACTAAAACCCTTAAACATTCCCTCATGTCATTGGTGCTTAAATGGCAAATTTGGACTTTTCCTGTTGCAAATGAACATTCTTCATTTTAGGCATTTGCTCCTCCTGGCAATTTAACCAAGCACCAACTTTGTGTTAGCATACTGAAAGCTATTTCTTGACTAAAACTGACTACTAACAGCTTCCTTCTCTGACATCTGTAGTTCCCAACATCTATACTTTGTAGCTGCTTTCTGAGATGCACCGCTCCAGCTTAAAGAGAGCTATTAGAAAAAAAACCCCAGAGCTTGAAGTTCATCCATTGACAATGCATCACAGATTGTGCCTCCCTCTTCCAATGAGCATCTCCCGTCAATCACATAGTATCCTGAATTTCTAAGCTACGATGTTTTTAACAGAGAGGTATCTCTAAACATCTAAGAGAGGCATCAAAACCACGTTTTCCTTTTTGTTTACTCCATGGTGTAAGAACTGTAAAAATAGCGGAATAAAACGTAAAACAAAAATATGCAAAAGCTTAAGCTACTAAATTAAATACCAATGCACAGGATTTTTAAACAGCAATCAAGTTTCTCGTTTCAATGGGCATTCTTTAAATGTCAATTCATTCCACAATAGTTTTAAAATTGGGGGGGAAAAATCAAACACTTTTGCCTGAGGATTTCTAAA